TATTCTAGAGTAATTCTATGAATTCCCGTCAAAAAAGGGTACCCTGAATTTATCGTGAACGGTGCCTTTAACATTTGTCAAGGTTTGTCTTTACTTTACTCGTGTAAAGGTTGGGAACCATTGCGTGCACTTTCGTCATCTGAAGCTTTTCTTCTACCGCTAGGCGCAGAGTGCGACTCAAGCTCAAAAGATTTGCGACGTTTGACCAGACAATCTCTGGAAGAACATACAGTGCATAATCAGTTTGCGAAATCCAAACAGAGCGATTCGCCCTCATTTTAACTGATGACGCCCCGGCGGTTGTCATCATTTAAAACGACCAAATCAAAATGTTAACGGAAGCGAATCGGCACAGCACTTCTCGTGGAGTAGGACAAAGGCCTAACTTTCCGAAATCAACCACCCATGATCATCTGCTGGACCTTAGATTGTGAAGCGCCTTGGTGTTAAGATACCTCACGAAATGGGCGAGCGCATTATGATGGACCGCGCCTCCGTGTGCGTCTCCTTGCTCAACGAAAAAAAAGAGCTGTTTTTAAAAGCATGAGAACGGAAGACGAAAAGTGGATCGTCTACAACAACGACGAGCAGAAACGAACGTGGAGCCTTCCCAGTGAGCCTCACAAACCGCTGCAAAAGTCAAAATCCGAGTGCGGAAGATTATGCTGTGCTGTTGACGGGATTGGAGGGAAATCGCTTTTCATGCGCTGTTGTAGCATAATCAAAGGATAACTTCTGGAAGGTTCTATACCTACCTTGACAACTTGGAGGTAGCGATAGACCAGAAGTGACCCGCGCTGGCTGTGTCGGCGTTGTCTTCCAACAGGAAACCTCCAGACCACACGTATTTTTGGCCACTCGTCAAAAATAGCTGAAGCTTGGGTGGGATGATTGTCACACCCCCCGTATAATCCGGACACAGCACCATCAAAACACCCCTTGTTCTGGTTTCTGCAGGACTCTTTGAATGGAAAATCGTTCAATCCGCTGGACGACTGCAGAAAGCACCTGAGAGGGTTTTTCGATTTTAAGTTCGGAACCTTCTATGAAAGTGGGGTACTGAAACTTACACGAAGATGGCGAATCCTTACCGAAAAGAATGGAGGATATATCGTTTGATCAATGGATTTCTTTTTCTAGGAATTTTCACTCAAAGATGAATCAGAAATCGGCGTAGACTTTTCGGACAACCCAATAACTGTGTTCAGTAACATTCTAGGACGCATGGAAAGTGGCTAGAGGTGTCCTAGAATGTAGGGAAAAGTGGATACAGGTAATAGGAGGAATGTGGAATAGAAGGAATACCAGAAGTAGACGGAGCTTGTTCTGGGGTAGGCGAGGCTTAAAGGCACGGTTCACGTTAAAAAAGTTATTGAGTTCTTCCTTTAGGAATACTCGGCGCCCAACTTGGGTGCTAGAAGGGACCCTCTCGCTCTCTCGAGAAAAGGTTCCTTAGGGGAAACCCTGCCGTAACTGGCTTTTCCGCCCCTCAGTCGATATCACGTCAGACGAGTGTAGAGACAATACAGGTTGCAACCATTCGTTCTAGGACCCACACGCAATCAGCTGATCGCCGAGTGATGAGGCGATTTTATCTCCCATTCTTTTTACCCCTGTTATTCTTTTTGCCGCGATCCCTTATTTAATTTCCTAGAGGCTGAAAAAGGTGAGCCACTTTTCCTATTACCCTAAAATTCCATAGATAAGAGCGGGTGAACCTACCGGTGAAA